AGGATCTCGAGCATGTATAAATGGAACAGGAGCTCATTAAACCTCCAAGTCATTAATTTAAAAATTGTGATAACTCAATGAAGAGTAAACCAAAACATTATCTCTTCCCATCTAGGAAAAAAAAATAGTCTGATGAACAAACCAATTACAGTACCAGGGTGGAAATGAGACTGCCAGGGAAAAGCACTTTAGAGCACCAATTATGTGTGTAGACAGATTCCGCTGATTATAAGTGAGCTTTAGTTACTCATTAAGGCAGGTTCTACAGGACCCATACTAGAAATCATTTTGCAAAAAATGTTCTTTAAGAGTTATTATGTATGCATATTAATGAAAATGTACTTATAGTAGAAACTCTCTTAATTAAAGCCCGTTAACCAGCTCATGGATTAACCAGCGTCCTTGTCCTCCCTAACACGTGCTGCAGGGTGCCTCTGCCATAGAGAATGCCTGGGGATCGTAGGGGCTCCCTGGCACCCCATTTCTGACCTTCAGTTGAGATATGTGCTAACCCAGCTCATTGTGTTTATCCCCAAACTTGTTTATGCCAGTTGTGCTCATTATTGTAAGTTTGTCGCTAAAATCTGACAAACTGATGAAGCATGAGTGTGAAAGGGATCTTCGCTAGGAAAACTAAGTCAAACGCCTCCCAAAACAACTTAGTAATGCTAAGTTACAAAAAAAAATTGTTGTCAAATAGGTAATTGACAAGACAATTCTAAAACACCGATTAAAAAATGTAAAAATCTAGTGTTTATTTTTCAATGTCTGTGGTCTTCCCATTCTGAATTCATCCCACCCCGAAAAGACAACCACAGCAGGATCTGGCTGTTTCCATTAAAGAACAAGCCAAACGCATTAGAAAGGAGGGCTCCTCACCCGAAGCCCCACAGGCTCCGCTCTGGAATTTACAAGTGCCTTTGACTGTGACTGCAGTTTAGAAAGCTGGACTATTTGGTTCCTTTTCCCTTATTAGTTTTATTAGGTATAGAATACCTAAGGAGGGTATTTGGCCCCTACTTGATAATGAAGTGGATGCTAGAGAAATGCTTGCTCGGTAACATAATCTATAGAAAAACTGTTCTATCAAGAGTTTGGTGAAAAGTGACCTCGTGTTATTGAGTAGCATCTCAGACTGTCAGCGTACTAAAAGGGGCTGGCAATGGCACACTCAGCTATGTTTTACTGTAACTTCTGAAGATGTCGAAGCAGCAGGCAGAGCTCAATGGCATCCTCCTCGTGCTTGTCCAGTAATTTACTGTGCCCCAGCTAACATGCAGCTGTAAAAGTCAAAGTGACAACAGAAAGCCTTACGCAAACTTGTAATGTTCTCTTGCTATGAAGGAACAAATGCTATGAAAAACTTCAACATACTTATTTTTCCTTGCAGACATCAACTATTGTGCAACAGAGCATGAGATTTTACATAGAGTTACCTGAGCCCCCGCCTGGCAGACTGATGATAAAGCATAAAATCTCATTTGCCCACAGCTCAGCAGATGAAGGTGGGATGACATCTAATACAACCAACTCTAGCTGACACCGAGACATTACCCCTTCCTTACCTAAAATTGTGTCACTTGAACTGACAGGGAACTCTCATCACACATCACTTAATAGGAGATCCATATCAGCCAAAGACAGCATGGGAACTTATCAAGTCAAGGACAGCTTGTCACCTGCACAGTGACTCTCAGTCTGTCACCCACTCTTAAATAACATGACAGGTGTTTACTTTATCAGACCCCCAACTGTTTGGGGGAAACTTTAAGACAGCAGGAAAAACAGGCATCTCTGCAGACTCACTCATTTTGCAGACTTTCTGTTCTCTCTCCTGAGTGGCATTCTTTTTTCCTTCTAGAATCAGTGGTGAACTCACGAACTTTAGAGAGTGACTTTGGAAACTGGGGCAACTATAACTAATTTCATTCCCTGAAAATGGGCCCACCTTTTGTACAATGGGGCAGATGATATCTGGGGGGGGGGGTATTCTTCCCCAAATTTCCTCGTATCCTTTCACATTTTCCACATTGAAACAGCAGCATATGCTACCTCAGGGAAAACATGACGTCACAAGCTACAGAGAATATGACTCAAATTCCTGGCTTTTGATTTTCCAAAGGAGAGACCAAGGCCAAAGAGGAACGATGTGGAGAAACACCGGACAGTGGGTGAGGGTCCTCCCTGCCCCCAGGTGAGAAAGAGACCCTTTGGACCAGGTGAAAGGAGACAAGAATGTTAGGTACTGCTGAGCCCCTGAGTTCATGTCCCCGAGGCCGGGTCCACAGAGGGGGATAGGAACAGAACTCTAAGATGGGTCGGGGGCCTGGGAGCAGAAGACCTATGTATGCTCTTCCCAAAGCAGGCCACAGAAAATAGGAGGACGCTCACTCACAGTTTCTGGTGTTCAGCAAGGGGCAGGAGTGAGAGAACGGTCTTCAAGGGGCAAAGAAGTCGATGGGCTCAAGAGCTCTAGAATCTCCAGTGAGGTGCTCAGAAGGACCAGAATGACATCCCATGCAGCCACGGCCATCTCAGTGAGGGCCAGTCAGCTGCTGGGACTAAAGGCTTCACAGTTAGTCTAGAGATAATGGCTATGGGTCCCTTCCCTTGTGATTTAACCATCAGCAACCATGCACTGCAAATGTATATGTAGTCAGTACCTACAGTATGACTATGGTGTCATGGGCACTGGGGATTCGTGGTCCCTGCCCTTGTGGCTCCTGGAGAAGACAGATATTAAACAGATAAGTGTGCACGATTGTGTGTGTGTATATATATATATGTTTGTATTTTTTAAAACTTCAAATTGAGACAAATGCTATACAGTTAGGGTAAATGATGTCTGAGGCCCAACTGATTTAAAATGGTATAATTCTAATGTGAGCAGCAGCTACTGTACCCACTGAGGCAAAGCCACAGGAAATAGATTTTAACCTCAGCTTAAACAAGAGAGTAATTGTTTGCTTATTGTTTGTTTGGTTTTTTTGGGGGGGAGGGGGAAGAATTTAGCATTTACTTGTTTAACAGGGATACTATTAAATCTGCTCAGGACTTTTAAGGTAGAGTTTCATCTCCTAGCAAAGTAGCAATTATTTTAATGAATACTTTCTTAAATGGAAAACTCTCATTTTTCTACTTTATAAAGAAATATAGTTTTATTATAGAAATTTATAATACTTTTTTAAATATTTCAATTATAGTTGACATATAGTATTATATTAGCTTCAGGTGTACAATATAGTGATTAGACATTTATATAACTTACCAGGTGATCACCCCGACACCCATCTGCCACCATACCTAGTTATTACCATGTCATTGACTATGTTCTTTATGCTGTACTTTACATCCCCATGACTACTTTGTAACTACCAATTTGTACTTCTTAATCCCTTTCCCTTTTTCACCAATCCCCCCAATCCACTTCCACCTGGTAACCCTCAAAATGTTCTCTGTATCCATGAATTTGTTTCTGTTTTGTTTGTTTGTTAATTTTGTTCTTTAGTTTCCACATATAAGTGAAATCACATGATATACTTACTCCACTCAGCACAATACCCTTTAGGTCTATCCATGTTGTTGCAGATAGCATAAGGTGGCTTGAATGGATCAGAAAACAAGACCTTTATATATGCTGTCTATAAGAGACACACTTCAGATCAAAAGATACACACAGACTGAAAGTAAAGGGATGGAAAAATATCGTTTTGCATAAAAATGGAAATGAAAAAAAAAGCTGGTATAGCAATACTTATGCCAGACAAAATTGACTTTAAAATAAAGGCTATAACAAGAGACAAAGAAGGACCCAGTAATTCCACTTCTGGGTATTTATCCAAAGAAACCCAAAACATTGCTTTGAGGAGATGTGCGCATCTATATGTTCATTACAGCATTGTTTACAGTAGACAAGATATAGGGGCAACCTGGGTGTCCATAGTTATAAGGAACACATTACCCACAATCTACCACAGAGCAAATCAACATTAACAGTTCTGTGTATTTCCATCTTTTTGCTGCACGTTTTTTTATACAGCAGAGGCTAGTTTACACAATTTGC